AGTGTGGGGGACTCCCAACTCTTTCAAGACGTCTGGCAAGCGTGGGAGAGTAGGCCAAATGCCATTCGGGGTGGTTTTAAAGAGCTCCCCCGAGTCGAGGGCCTTCCACAAAGCAGTGGAGTGAGTGAGCAACTGCAGAGTTGCGCTTCTATCACCTTGACAAGTTGCCTTGCAAACACAAGACAATAGCACGTGCGTTTGAACACGTCACAAATACATCAATAAGGCTGTTAACACAGCGGTTCGAGGGGGGGGGGAGTAACTACTTTATGTTTCAATAAGATTAAAATCCTTTGTACAGAATGATCGCTTTCAGTTTCACTGTCTGATGCCAAGATACACTTTGGCGGTCAAAAGAGACACGATGGTGATTAAAAAAAAAACTGCACGCATTCGTCAACAACACTGCCTTAAAATAAATATTAGCGGTGACGTTTCGGACAATGGCCCGTCTGCACAGCACACACTTTGGTAATAGGCTCCTCTGCATTCACGCAGTGCTGGCATCCTTCCCACCTCCCCACACATTCAACTTGAATCTATTCACGGGATTGATTGACACGTGGAAAATAAAGGGTGCCGCATAGATTGGGTTTTGTGGCCGAATGCATGAGGGGGTGTATTGGTGGAGGAGCGGGGTAAGTTGGTGCGTGTATTGGTGGGGGGGGTGTGAAAGATGTGTTGGTGGGTGGGGTGTATTGGTGGGTGGCTGGGTGAGCGTGTGTTGGTGGGTGGGGGGGTGTTGGTGGGTGGAGGGGTGTGTAGGTGGGTGGGGGATGTATTGGTGGGTGGGTGAGTTGGTGGGTGGGTGTGTTGGTGGGTCGGGGCTGTGTTGGTGGGTGGGTGTGTTGGTGGGTGGGTGTGTTGGTGGGTGGCTGGGTGCGGGTGTGTTGTGGGTGGGTGAGTGTGTTGGTGGGTGGAGGGGTGGGTTGGTGGGTGGAAGGGTGAGTTGGTGGGTGGAGGGGTGAGTTGGTGGGTGGGGGATGTGTTGGTGGGTGGGTGTGTTGGTGGGTCGGGGCTGTGTTGGTGGGTGGGTGTGTTGGTGGGTGGTTGTGTTGGTGGGTCGGGGCTGTGTTGGTGGGTGGGTGTGTTGGTGGGTGGGTGTGTTGGTGGGTGGCTGGGTGAGTGTGTGTTGTGGGTGGGTGAGTGTGTTGGTGGGTGGAGGGGTGTGTTGGTGGGTGGAAGGGTGAGTTGGTGGGTGGAGGGGTGAGTTGGTGGGTGGGGGATGTGTTGGTGGGTGGGTGTGTTGGTGGGTCGGGGCTGTGTTGGTGGGTGGGTGTGTTGGTGGGTGGTTGTGTTGGTGGGTCGGGGCTGTGTTGGTGGGTGGGTGTGTTGGTGGGTGGGTGTGTTGGTGGGTGGGTGTGTTTGCGGGTCGGGGCTGTGTTGGTGGGTCGGGGCTGTGTTGGTGGGTCGTGGGTGTGTTGGTGGGTGGGTGTGTTGGTGGGTGGGTGTGTTGGTGGGTGGGTGTGTTTGCGGGTCGGGGCTGTGTTGGTGGGTCGGGGCTGTGTTGGTGGGTCGGGGCTGTGTTGGTGGGTGGGTGTGTTGGTGGGTGGGTGTGTTGATGGGTGGGTGCGTTGGTGGGTGGGTGTGTTGGTGGGTGGGTGTGTTGGTTGGTGGCTGGGTGTTTGCATGGCGCTGCACGTGCGTCGTCGCACAAGGGCCGTGTGTGCGAGTCGAGTGGGTGTGGGGCGGATTGGTGGTGCTGGTGACGTAATGGATGGCCACTGAAAGTGCTTTCAGAAGAGGCGGCTCTCTCAGTGTGCTGCTGGCCCGCCGTGGTCTCTCTCATCTTCAGGAGTCTTGACCAAGGTCAACAACCAAGAGCTTTCTCGCCTGCGCATTCGACTTGCTCTTTAGCCCTGCAGCCGGCGAGTCCGCAATAACGTAAGTCGAAGCATCAACACGTGCGTGCTCTGACAATACTCCCCTTTTTGTGTTTGCCGTCTAGTAGTTTGTACGGCGTGAACGTTGTGCTTGGCTTGCTAGGAGGGCGCGTTGTACGATGTTTACACCGACTGGCGCAAGTCTTTGTGAACATGACATCTCTGATGGACTTCGTGACGTCTGCCACCTCCTTGTTACCCGTACCGCCGATCGAAGTGGTGGTCCGCCGAGAGAGGGGGGTTCTTACAGAGATTCATAATCGGGCCACTTCGCACGAGGTTTTTTGTTTGTTTTTAAAAGAAACACACAAACGTAAGCAACTTCCCACCCTCCCCCTTCGAAAGATCGGTAAGCGTTTAAAAAAAAAACTGCTTCAACACATCGCCGCCCCAGTGAACACCCGCCAAGGTTTAAAAGGCCAACGTTGAAGCAACGTCGGAAATATCTTAGTTCTTTCGGTAAAGTCACGTTGTTGTTCCCTTCAACGTGACTTTACCGAAAGAACTAAGAATATGAATTACTGCAGTCACGAAAGCTTTAAATCAAAATTTAACGTCGGAAATGTTTACTCGGAGCCTGGTCGGATTGGCACGTGTGTGTGTCATGCTGGTAAATGGAGTATGCTGCGTTATGGAATGTATATTATGGTATAGCTTGCAGCGTGCTCGACTTAACATATTGCCTTGGTACGCACCTCCGATTAGCACGGTTGCCCGAAGGGTTCAAACAAACATATCAAGTATTAATCATGACAAAATCACCATTGTAGCATCGGGTGATGTGGTTTCGCATCCAGTTACAATAGGATAGAGGCGCAGATCTGCAATTGCCTGCTTGTGCCACTGCATGTAGAAGGCCCTCCACGAGAGGGAGCTATAGAAGAGTCCGTAAAGAGGGCAGTTGGCCTACTCTTCCACGCTGACAGACGTATTGAAAGAAATTAGAGTAACCCACGCTTTACCCCACCATGCATGCTGCTGGATAGATCAAGTCCAGTGTGCTATCCATTACGCCGTGACACCATCAGATGCAAAATGATAAACATAACAGTATTCGTGATAGGGTTATTGTGTAGCGTCATTTGTAATGCAGTACTGTGTATTGGTTTGTAGACCGACATGCGTGTTGCTTATTATTTGTGAGTACATTGTTGGCAGAGGTAGGAGCCTCGGCTAAGTTAAACCCATCTCCGTGTGGTATTGGTATTCAGAAATAATATCTTGCCTACCAAATGAACCTGCTTGTCCGGCTAGTTGCAGCCGACCGTTTTGGTGTCAAACACCAATGATATGCCGTAACGTTATAGCTACGTCAATGCAGTGGTTAGCACAATTTGCTACGAATCCGTTGACCTGAGTTTCAATTCCCAGCCATGGCCAACGTCAGCGGCAAGTGATAGCTGAACCAATCCTGGGGGGCGGGATTCCTTTTTACCAACCTACGCTGATCAGCATTGGTGAAGTTCTGTATGTTGAGCTTCTTTTGCACCGTACGTAGCCAACAGGCTAATCGGAGTTGCGGGGGGGAAGCATAGGTCAGACAAACCTCATGACCGACACGGCATAGAGAGAGGCCTGCACTCGGTGTACTATATATAATATGTGCGTAGGATAACCGTAACCTTCTAGGAGATATCCGACCTCTGCACATATCTGCCGATGCCTCAGTGCCCGGCGAGTCGGATATGAGACAGTACAACGATTCCATACATTTCAATTGTTGTGCGTATTGGGTTACAGACGGAATCAATTGCATCTCTGGTCAGTCGAAGCAAACGGTTGCGGAGAAAGTAGGAGAGTTGAAGGTTCATTGCGTCGAACCGGGCGAGAGCACTTGAGAGCGGGATGAGTCTCATTTTGCCAGCGTGACCCGGGTCACGGTTGCATTTTTTCAGTAAACACTGTAATGCAGTCAGTGTAACGCGTAGTGAATTATTTGTCTTTTGTCAACGTGACACTTTTTTTTTGCTGATTGGCCGTGTAGGGTGGTGGAGGGTTACGACACATTTATAAATAACGCGATCTAACCCAACAACCTTTATTATGAACTGTAATGCAGTGTCTGCAACTGTGATATCAGAAGGGCCATGCCATGAATCGCCAAGAGTACATAGCAATAGGTTATTTAATTTCTCAGTATTTCCGTTCTCAGGGCAGCATTGTGGAGAATGTTTAGCTTGTGCTTTGAGGCACAAAAAAGTGCTTCCTGAAATGTAAATTGATGCGTGGTCACCGTAAGTCTTTCATGGCAGTTTCTCAACAAGGCACGACGCTACGCTATTTCTCAAGAGGTCCTGCAACCGCCACTTCCCTTGTCCTCATTGCAAGAGTTTAACTGTGAAAGAATGTCGAATAATAATTGTACAAGCAGATTGTTTTTTTTTGTCAATCCACTGCTGCATGGTGACCTTTCCGTGCAGGTCGCAGTGCGACTTAAAGACATTGCAGGACAGTTGTACAATGGATTTTGTTGTTGTTGCCCTCAATAATCACTGCACTGTTATTATCAAAGTAAAATATAGTACGCTAAAGTGTTTTTCTTAACTTTGTGTTCCAGTTGCAGCCACCTGCTGCTGCTGCTGCTGCTGCTGTTGCCCCGTGTGGATTTCCCACTGACTCCGCTCGTCGCCGTTCAGTATGAGCAAGGGTGGCCATAGCCAGGCCTCGCCCGCAGGAGATGAGAATTTACCCGACCGAGAGACGGATCACATCACGAACGCCGATGGCCTTTCCATCTACTGCCGCTACTGGAGGCCAACCCAAGGCAAGCCCAGGTGAGCGCGGGGGAATGGTGATCTGCGCCTCCGCTCCCTTTCGCCGCTGAGGCTGTAAAAAGGGCACGCGGCTGCCCTAGCAAGGGGTAATCTTTAACACGTAGGCTTTCGCGACCAATATTATTCATAAGAAAGGTTTTTGGGTTCGATCGCGTTATTTATAAATGTGTCGTAACCCTCCACCACCCGACACGGCTAATCAGCAGAAAAGTGTCACTTTGACAAAAGACAATTAGTTCACTACTTTAGCCCACCGGTGTGTTGAAGAGTGAATCCACAACATTTACAGTTTGAATACGACGTTTCGTATTCAAACTGTAAATGTTCTGGCGAATTGCCTGATGATGCTGGATGTAATTACCAGCGAAACGTCGTATTCAAACTGTAAATGTTGTGGATTCACTCAACACACCGATGGGCTAAAGTAGTGAACTAATTGTCTTTTGTCAACGTGACACTTTTTTGCTGATTGGCCCTGTCGGGTGGTGGAGGGTTACGACACATTTATAAACAACGCGATCTAACCCAAAACCTTTATTTTGAAGGGGTAAATAACCTATTGGGTGTTGCTCTGTTTTGACTGCACAGTGTCATTCTGAAACTTCACATCAGCCGGAAAACTGTATTGTACATTGGAATAATACCCTCCTATCGTTGCACTTGGAACGTTTAACAATTTAACAAAACAACATTCCCTTTAAGGTCAAAAGGTCATCGTGTACGTGTAGCCGGTGGCGTTTGCGGCTCCACACCTCGTCATCGCATCCTTCCTTCTGCCAGATTTCATGATTGTCGCAAAGTTGACACGCAACCTTCTGAGGGTAACTCTTAACAGCGTTCCAGCCGTCGGGCTTATGGGCCTGTCGGTCCACGGTGTGCCCTTTGTCGATCCACTGCTGGGTGAGTTGTCATCACCCTCCCACAGTCCGCATCATGGGGGTTATTTGACCGTACTTCACCCTCGTTGACACGTGCAGCTGAAGGGACCACAGGTGTGGGGGCATAGAAGTACAGTACAACACTGAATTTTTGTACTGCCCTCTTATGCCCACCCCCTACCTAATCCCACGTGCTGGTTATTAACACCTGTGCAATGTTGTCAAACTATCCAAGCACTCTCCAGGCTCAGCCTTCCTTATACTCCCGAGATCTGATGAGCTCGGCACATTTGCTGATAGATTTAAAATCAAGGCACAGTGTGCGTATATGTGTAATACCATAGTCACTATACTGTGTGTGTGTGTGAAGTCACCCAGGAAGTGTATAAACGGCACACTAGAGCCAATTTGTTGTGACATGAGCATTCAAATCCAGCTGCCACTTTGTAATGCGTTCAGGAAGTTATCAAACCATCGTTGTCTGCTATAGACATTAAACACCAAGTGACCTAATATTCAAGAGTAGTATGAAGGCGTCATAGTTTAAAAAATGTCAGATTTTAAAATAACTACGGGCACATTTATCAAGGCCTCTCCTACATACGCTCGTGAATCTCAGTGAGCGCCTGTCCATTTAAGATAAGGACATTGAGAACAATAGTTATACTGTACAGGAAAACGGAATTTGAGGGACAACCTTAATGGGAATGACATTCCATTGGTGAGTGTACGCCACCCAAAATGCGTGGTGACGTCACAGCGACCTAGACCTTGATTCAATGACAAACATGGTTGCGGGTTTTACTCAACCCATTCATTAATCAGTGGCGAGTGTCTCTTCGAGTGCCGGGCGATTTGCGAGTGGTGAGATGTGCTGTGTGGGAGGAGTGCTGTGAATTAAAAATAATGCAGATGAATGCCAGTCACGGGTCAAGAGGGCTCCCTGCTTGAATGAGCACGGGGGCAGGTGCCACATCTCTGTTAGCAGGCCTCAATCAGTTTTTTTGCTTCAGTTCACATTTGACATTTCATTGGGCGGGAGGACGTTTGGGCTAATTCCATCCTGCTCGTTGAGATTTCAACCCACAAATATCCAGTTGCACCAATGAAGAAACACATTTGGTGTATCGTATAGAAGAACAAAATGCAATTTTTATTTACACTGCAGGAATTCGATGAACACCAAAGCGCCTTTTCATAGATGCCCAGCAGGAGTGGCTCAGAACGTTACGATACAAAACACACGGCAGAAGTGCCGAGTGTAGGAATGGGAAAGCCAAATCACTAAAAACCGTGCACCTCGAAGGGACAACCGAGAGGGAGACGTGAATGACACATTTGACTCCACCCACGGCGTCGCCTGCCTGGGCGAATGGCCACGTCCGATCGGGCGATCGTCGCCGCCGCCGCCTCCGGCTATTGATGCCCCGGTGGCATCCCTACGAGCGCCGTCTCACCCGGCCAGGCAGAGGGGTGAGGTGGGGGGGGAAGGCGTTCGTCTTCGAATTTAACGCGTTTGGCTACGTACGGTGCGAAAGACGTTCGACATACGTATGTACATTCCTGCGCTGACGATCGGTGGCCCATATGGCCTTAGTCACGTTTTTGGCGATTGTTTACCGAAAAGATTTTCGAAATACTTTCGCTAAAAGCGTCACCAAGACAGCAGTTAGTGAAAATGCAGCAGCGTGCCTTAATGCCTGATACCAGCGGTGTGGCAGATCGCCCAGACAATGTGCGTTGGCTCATATTGTACCTCTACAGCACTACACAGTTTAAACTTGTGTAGCATCTGCATTCAACCGCATCTGAGACCCCTGTACAATCCAGTGGGAAGCCCATGGGTTTTCTGGGGCAAGGAGGCATATTTAATGATTTACGTTAGAGAAACAGACTAAGGAGATGAGGAAGATATTGAGCGCTCTTGTGCTGTTGTGATGGTGGTGCTGACGTTGGGTGGTTGGTGGTGGTAACAGTGGGTAGTGGTGGTGCTGACATTGGGTGGCGGTGGCAGCGACGGTGGTGGTGATGTTCTGGCAGCAGCGGCAATGACATTGGCGGTGACTCTGTGTGTACATTGAACCTCCTTCGCACCGTTCTAAAATCGAAAGGTGCGGACTTTGGTGGCGAAGGTGACGGCGACGGTGGTGTTGTTGCAGGGGTCTGGTGCACGTGATTCACGGAGCTGGCGAGCACTGCCGCCGCTACGACGAGGTCGCGTCTCGTCTCTCCGCGCTCGGGTATTTCGCCTTCGCCCACGACCACGGTGAGCGGGGAGCGATTTGGCGCGTGCCACACCGCCGTCGTGGAGCGGCGCACCACTGCGATCCCGCGGCATGGAGGCACGGAACCTTTGTGCGTGAGATACTCGCACCCGCAGGGCGATGAGGTGGTCTCTGCACGAGTAGCTCCAGACACTGGTTATTGACCTGTTTGCAGTCGTTATTTCATACTCACACTGAAGGCCTTTGTGTGACCAAATCAGCCTGGAAATGCACCGGATCTCCAACGCTAAGCAGCAGTGAGCCTGCATAGTGCTTGGATGGCTGACGACATTTCTTTAACATTAAAAGCGGCTAAATCGTGGGCAGTAGAGGTAGGTGCAGTAGTTCTTCATTGGTGACGCGGTCGATGCGTTTCTGAACAGGAGCTGCATTGAGCGGAAAACCACGTTAGCCGGCGAATTCCTGATACCGAATCACATTTGCACGATAGGTAATTATAATCGGTCCTGCAGTCATCCCATGGCAGGATAAAGATCCGAGATGAGGGTACACACCGTACTGTATAATTTCGCGAATGTACCCAGAAGTCGGTCACAGCATTCACTCAAATTATTGTTGTCATGCAGCATCCATGCAGGCTTCGTTGACCATTAGAATTCCAGGGAGCTTGGGGATTGAATGTGACCTTTGTTCTACAACCTTTGACCTGTGGGCAACGACAAAAATAAAGACCAGGACCGCCTCAAAAATCGTTATCGGCGGTGCACTGGCTGCCGATTTAAGACGGTGTCATTTCACCTCTGATGCCTCCTTGTCCAGTCCTAGAGTGCATCCCTCGCTACTGTCACTTCGTATGAGGAATGGCTGAGTGGCGAGTGTCAATTAAACGTATCTGTTGAGTAGAAGTGGTGTCACGTGATAAAGCGTCTGCCTCGTGCAAGTATAAAAAAAGTGAGGTGAGGGTAGGACATCAACAGGAACTTCCGTCATTATACAGGTGAGCCTTAAGTGTCCCAGTGTGAGTGGTGCGTGTCTGCGGGTAGTGTCTAAGTGTCTGATGCAAGGGTCAGGTGTGCGAGTGGTTATTGCCCCATGGCTATGTGTTCGTGGTGAGTGTGTGTCTGCAGGTATTGATCAGGAGGTGTGTCTGTTAAGTGTCCTGACGAGTGAGTAAAAGTGGTGTCTGGTGAGTGCTGTGTCTGGTGTGGTGGGTGTCTGTCTGGCGAGTGGGTGGATGAGTGCGATCGTCTGGTTTAATGGTATCCGAGGCGTGGCGGGTGTCTGGCGAATCTTATCCAGCGAGGGTCAGGTGTCTGTTGAGGGAATATCATGTCACCCTATCTGTAGGACAGGCTGTCCTGTACAATGTTAGCCAACAAATTTGAACAACTTTTTTTTTATAAGTATAAGTCTCTCCCTGCTAAATAAAGACATTTTCACTAGTCTTTCCACAGCAGGTGATCATGTAGGCTCCGTCAACCTTACCAGGCATAACTCTTTGAGCCCGAGTTAGTTTTCCGCCGAGGTGATCTATGATCAAATTGACACTCTCCGTAGCTGTAAATACGCACACCATTACATACTAAAGTACTGTATATAAATATGCCTCTTTTGCAATTGTAGTGACATAGAATTGGTCAGTACGTAGCATCATAGCGCTGGCTGCTGGCAGGGAAGGGGCTGTGCAGCTTGAAGCAGCCCTCACTGACAGCAGGCCACGTGATAGACCCGAGAGGGATCTCGGGGAGAGGTCACGGAAGGGACACGTCAGGGAACCCGCTAGTAGGTTCTAGAAGGGGGGCGTGGCCAGGGCAGAGCGAGGCCACTCTGGGAGATTAAAAGGGGCTGTCGTTTGGAGTGGGATCCACGTCGTCGTCGTCGCTGCTGAAGATCGCTGTTGTCTCCACTTGATTACTGCGCTGCTAGGCGTAGTCTTAGTTCAGCGCCGTCAGTGTCAGACGGCTAGCGAGACACCAGTGTAGAGTTGCGTATAAGCGAGAGACAGAGTGTGTAACGGTGTAGGGTGTATTGTATAAAGTGTACAAAGTGTGCTCGGTGTTTAATTAAAGAATTGTCTCCAAGAATGTACGTCTCCAAGTCAGTCACCACACAATGAAATACATTTTGCACTGTGTAATAGGGTGAATGCTTTGAGCGAATGTTCCCTCGGGGTAGTAACGGTAACGGGATTTCAACGATACACTTCAACGTTATGCAATTGCAGTGCGATGCAATGTCCACGTCGTGGAAATTGTGCTCGCGCTGGCTCGCGAGTGCGTTGTGCGCGTCTCCTTGCGCGTGGCCAATCGATTGTTTTCCGCGCACGTTACAATGTCCCCGTGCACAACGCTGTGCACGGGGACGTGGGCACCTGGGTCTGTCCCGTGACCTCCCGCCAGCGGGCGTTCGACACTGCACGTGGCCTTAACGTGCACCTAGCCTGGCACAGGCGCCGTGGTGACGTCGCCACGACTTAGTGGCGAATCGCGGGTGTGTGTGCGCGTCTTGTTACAAAAAAAGTGTAGCGGTTAGCACGCTGCGCTACAAACCCGGCATCCAAGAGTTCAATTCCCACTCACGGCCAACACCAGGTGAAGATTACCGGGCCAGAGCCTCCCCCTAGGTCGACTCAGCCTCAAATGAGTACCTGGTGCGGTGTGTAAACATCGCCACTGGGCAGACAAAGGTGGCCAGGCGTGGTGTTGGCCATTCACCCCCTCGTGTGTCGTGCCGGCCTTCAATAGGTGCTCGATAACAGCACTGGACCCGATCGGGGGAGGGGGTCGGCAAAATAAAAATATCTTTGTTACAAAACAGATCATTTCTCGTTATCAAAAAACATGATCCCTTTAAAAAAAACTCTCAACTCAATTTTGAAAACATGTTTCAGATGACATCCAATTTCCTGTGAACGCATAAGCCTCTTGAATTATGAGCGTTGTGCATTTCTACAGATCCATTCGGCTCGCTTCCCTTTATTGATTTACACCAGTGCTAGAAAGGGCATGGCAACTCGTTAATGAAGTTATGCTTCGGTCAATGCGAATGTACAAAATCTAATTATTTGGCTCTGTACTGCGTTTGGCTTATGACCCAGACACCCGATCTTATCAAGTGTTTAGAAACTAAAAACGGGGTTTGAGCCTGGATACTGCTTGGCTGGGGGCGACTGCCATGCATGAAATGGGCGTTATCGGCCGTGGGGCTGTGTTGTCAGCAGAGGATAGTGCAGTATATCAACATTGCCTGGTATACAGGAGGTGGAGTTTGCATGTTCTCCATGTGATCACCTAGATTTATCTCTAGGTCCTCCAATGTTACCCCCACCTCCTCCCCATTTATAAACACGGGTTTTGAGTATTTGGCTGCGATAATTCCCACATAAGCCACTTTTTGTTGAGCCATCATGTGGCCAGGTCACTTCTGTAAAATAGTGGGCCTTACCTGGTCAAATAAAATAGGTTTTGGAAAAATCCATCGTACTGTAACAATGCCCGAGCGTCTATGCCACGTGGACATTATTAGCACACTACACTAACCAGCGTGGAGCATGGTAAAGTAATTCTCACGACTCAAAACAGCTTAGGGAGGCTTGCCCTCCATTCAGCAGTGGATTAAAAAAACACGTAAATGTTGTGGAAACCCAGCCAAGTAGTGCTGTGGTAGCATTGCCCGACCTCAATGTGTTTGAGTCCAACAGTTAAAACCGCTGTTGCCAGATGACCTGGACCATCTGGGCATGTGCCCGGTAATTTAATAGAGGGACGTTTGCTTAAAGCAAAATTGCCCAGTCTAAAAAGGGGGAAACTTCTCTGCGAGTGCATTCGTCTTCTGCGATTGGTTAATTTTGCCATCTTGACTAACTATATGCGCGTGTGTGAGGAGCTGTAGCAGTTAAGAGCTCTGTGTGCTACAAAGCAATAACTCGAGATCAATTTGCCCTCATGGCCAACATCAATAATGAATATCTTAACTGGTCCTGGGCCACTCCTAGGTCGATTCAGCCTGAAATGAGTACTGTACCTGGAGCAATTTGCAAAACGTCAGAAGGTGCAGAGAGACGAGGAGTCGGATGGCGTGCTGGTCACACCACCTCCTGCCGTGTACCTTAAACGGTCTATTAATAACATTTTATTTATATCTCCAACGAAAAGCAGCAACAAGGAGATAGAGTATTGGATAGTTGTGGGTGGCAAATACACAACGCACTTTCACTCGAAGCCAGCAAGCGAAATAAACGCGTAATATTACTGATATTGGCCAAACAATGCTGAAAACTTACCTGCAAATTACCCAATTGGGATTTACACGCAGCAACATTGGCATCCCCCCTTCCGAAGAGCCTTGATAATCGGCAAAGATTTCCTAGGTAAACAAGCATAATGAACAATGGGTCAAACAAAAGGGCTAGGCCACGAATAGCACTTAACCCTACAGGCTATGAACGTATAAAAATAGGTGTCTTTGTTTGTATTTGTGTACTTGTTTAAAGTGCACCTGTTAACGCACGCTTGTACATGCATGCTAGTATAACCGCAGTTGGGGAAACTGCATCGCGCGTGCTTTCATATTCGCTTCTGCGGCCATCTAATCCACTCTTCCTTCCGATATTTAGGAATTCACTGGAGCTATGCCCTTTCAAGTCTAGATTGAAAACTCATTTCTTTAGAACGGTCTTGTGTTCAGTTTGTGGTCCTTGCCCCCGCACCGCTGATTAGCACGGTTGCTTACGTTTTTTGAAAGAAGTTCAACGTAAATACTGTGACGGTGGGTTATCAATTAATTGGCGTCACTACGCAAAAAGGAGTCCACCAGGGCCAGGGGGAGAGCATGGCGTGCTAGTCTGTACTTCGCGGGCGATCACAGACCAGGGCCGAGGCAGAATAAAAGGGTCTCAACACATTTTTAGCTTCACCAGGTTAAGGGAGGTGGGGGGTCAAGTGGTCACGGCCACATCCCCCAAGAAGGAGGCATCATGCTTTGCACTATTACACACCAACACACCGCGTAACTACGCAAAACCGTCACCCGCAGAAATAGTTTCGCTGTACCATTGACCAAGCGTAGGAAAACGAGCACCCAGAGAATTCGTTTCTTCAGGTTCTGGTCAGGGTCACACACAGGTGCACACTCGTGGCCACCCTCCAGCCATTCACTACAGCATACCCCCCCCCCCACACCCACCTTCATCCAGTATGCTACAGCGACCACTTCTTCGCGCTCACCTAGTGTACAGCACTCCCCTACAGCAGCAGCACTAACAGCACCGCCACACAGCAGTTTGAAGCAGAAGTGGTTGCGCACTCTTCCTCAATTCTCAGCTCCCTGGTTCGTCTCTCCCACACAACGCTCCTCCAGTTTCAGGCCTGCAGGCCTCACCCGGACTCGGCCGCTGGCAACAAAAAAAAACCCAACGCAGATAGGCCTAATTGCTTTGCCTACAAACATTCACCTCGCCACGTCCGACCTCAAGGAAGCTGGGTTCAACTCACCGCCCTTGCTGCGGTGTCGTTGCTGTCTCCTTGACGCCACCGCATACGCTGACGTGGGCTGCCTTTATCGTCCCGCTTAAGCGCTGTTCACAGCCCGCTTTAAATACTCATCTCCACGGTAGGTGGTGCCACACCTGGACCTACTCGATAACTGGCTGGGCCGCCTAAATTAGTCGCCACCTTCTGTGAATTTACTCCCCCCACCCCAATGAACTCACAAACATGACAGACATCCATTTCACCCGTAGCACACGCATACATATGTAGACGAGTAGTGGAGGACGTCATGTCACTCAGGGGGCTGAGAATGGATGACGTCAGAGGTTACGGGGGATATAAGGGGGAGCCCGTTACGTAGAGGGGGTCGTCGCGAAGGGCCAGGAACGGAGAGAGTTAGGGATTCGGGATCCAGGGTAGGGGGAATCAGCGCCAGGCGAGAGTGATACTTCACCCGGCCGACTGAGTTGGATGATCCCTCGGTCGGTGCTGGGGGAAGATCACATCTAGCCTGGGTGGAGCTAGGGACCTCCCAGTACCCTTTCCCCAGGGGAGATATTAGGGTTGTCACCTGTTAGGCGTAAGCCTTTAATAAGTTACCGGCAGTAGCCCTTAATAAGCCTTGGCATCCGCCCCTACTCAAGAACCGTGTCTGCGTCGTCAGTTGCACCTCAACACATACGTACAGATTCCTACAAAGCAGAGCTTAGGTTACATACGCAGTCAGGGCGACATTAGCTGCCTCGCTGCACATTGCATGACGGGACGGTATTTACATATTTACAAACACACAGCATGTAATTAGGTGAATGTGCTTGGGGCAAACGGAGAGAGGTCTGACATATTATGGCTCGTGACTCGAATTAAAACCGCGAGCGTGGTTTGGCATGCTCGGATGGTCCGCAGCACCAGCAAAAAGCATGCCAACGTTGGACCAACGTTGAACATGCGTTTTGAATTGTTGGGAATAATGTTCGTACCCAACGTTCCATGCTTACTGGGACATTCTGGCCTTTTGTGAAATCTTAGCCCTAAGTGTGATTGATGCAGATGACTTCAGGGTCACTTGCTGTGGACAATAACATCTGAATTCTTGTTTACGAGACAAGTTATTACGAGTCATTTGTCAAAATCCGTTTTCATGGCCATTGCTGTAGATGCCACCACATCCTCCTATCATCATATTCTTAATTCTGCCAGATATTCTATATTAGAGCTGCTCTGATTGATAGTTATTTCGAATAATTATCCCTTTATTTATATAATTGTATGGTATACATATTTAATGATGACAATGTAAACTGTGAACAGAGGGCAGCCTGTTCTACAGATGTGAAAGTCACATGACACCTGACCCTTGTCATACATTTACCACTCACCTGACAGCATCCATCAACTCACCACTCACCCAACACTCACCAGCCATCAACTCACCACTCACCCAACACTCACCAGCCATCAACTCACCACTCACCCAACACTCACCAGCCATCAACTCACCACTCACCCAACACTCACCAGCCATCAACTCACCACTCACCCAACACTCACCAACTCTTGACGCTCTTCACTTTATAGCAGTGGCCTTTCGCTGCCAGCGCCACGCACCAGAACTGAGCACGCGGATTGGTCGAGCGTTTGGCGGGAACTTTGAATCTGGCCAATCAAGGGGCATGCATTGTAGCTCAGATGACCTCCATAAATAACAGACCTGAGTGGGGAATGCTGCGAATGGCCAGTGATGATGGATTTGCATCAAACGGACAAGTAGCATGGTTAATACGCAGATTACAGTGCAATGTTCATGATTTTCTGTTATTTCGTTTCTAGAAGGGTGTCCACTGACCAGGCAACGTTGTGGTCAGCACAAAACCAAATTTTTAAACCCCGAAAATTATGTGATATAATTTTCAAGAGTTCGTAAATTGTGTGCCGGTGTCATGAGAAACACCCCTGAATGTGACGGTCACAAAAACATGAAAATTCATTGGAAATTCATATTAATTCTAACACTGTAAACCACACTTGGGCCTCTTAGAAATGTATGTAACTGTGTACGCTTGCTTGCTCATGTGATCCTTTTAGCGATCACATCGCCGCACTCCGGCGTTTCTGCATCTGCTTCGTTCCTCCTGAAGCCGCGGTGACGAAAGAGTGAGTGTAACCTCGCGCGCCCTTTTCCCCTTCTCCTCCCCCTTGCTCCCTCCCCCAGTGGGGCACGGGCAGAGCGAGGGGCCACGGATGCAGGTGTCGGACTTCCAGGTGTTTGTGCGAGACACCCTGCAGCATTTCGATCTGATCTGCAAGCGCTACCCGGACCTGCCCATATTCCTGCTGGGACACTCCATGGTGCGCGAGGGCTTCCTAAGAACACACCGGGCTGCAAGCGGTCGTACGAGGGCAACGGTGTCCACAACTCCCCCGCAGTACAGCAAGAGGAGGGAGACTTTTGCAGAGAGAGGCCGCGTTTCTCAAGATAAAATAGCCACGTCTCCAATTAAATTGTTGGGACACATGGCCGGAGTGATTTTTGGAGTGGAATAGCTAGGCATAGGACATGTTGTGACGTGACCTTTATACATCAGCTTCTGTTAACCTTACGCCTATGACCACGTCACCCGGAATGCGCCCAATCTCGGCAGATTTTGTAAGCTGGATAACAACTTGCACGGACGGACACCGTGCACAGCACAGGTGGTGCAGCCAGCTGCCGCGGTTTATGCTTTCAGCAGATGGCAGTGCAGAAAAATCCATTGTTGTGTTGTGCTATGCTCTCAAATGTCTGTGCTCCTCATCATCACCAACTCACACTGACCAGCGTGGTGAAGTCTAGTTGAGTAAAACCCCGTGACCCGTATGGTATTCGAAGGATTTCATCAAGGAGTGAATCGATAATTCCGTGTACATTTATGTGTAATAGGTGATGTGTGCTACGACAATCTATTAATAAGATGCATAAACAACTGCATACTTGCCTTGTGATGGACGTCCCGCTGTTGCTGTACAGCGTCTTGTGATCCAGTTATATTTTTAGGCTTCATAATTCCACATTGCATCGTAAATCCAATCTGTATTGCATTTGTATCTCTGTACTACTTCCTCTCCTCGTCCGTAAACTTAACCATCCTGCCCCTCCCCCCCCCCCCCCCTTTGCCTATCATCGCCCTTCCTTGCCATCCCTTCCCCTCCCCAACACTCAAACCCCATCCCTTTTCCCCATCAACCAATACTGATGTACAATTTATACTGCTTGTAAAGCGCGTTAACAAAAGCGCTACACAAAATCCCAGATACGATGACATTGTGTGTGTGCACGCTCGTGCAGGGTGGTGCCATCTCTATCCTGGCGGCGAGCGAGAGGTCGGACAAGGTGGCTGGAGTGGTGCTGATCGGCCCTCTCATCGAAGGCAACCCTGACATCGTCTCGCCGTTCAAGGTGCGCCGGCAATCAATCCCAAGATTTATAACGCGCCGTACGCGGCACAAAAACCTCCGAGGGAAGCGCCAATGGCACTGAGGAAATGAAACTAAATTAAACTGAACAGAAGAGTTATTTTTTTTTGGTCTACGTCTCAAAAGCACCGGCTGTTACGGCTAACCAGACTTCAGTCGGCAGACCGTTCCAGACCACTGGGGCTGCAGATAAACAACTCCGTTCTGCTCTCCGAACCCAAGTGGATTTCTCACAAAGCAGCAGGTCCATACCAGATGGCCGTAGGGTTCGTGATGGTGCATACGGGTGGACGGCATCGCTCGGGTGACCAGCGCAGCTCCTTCAGAAGTATTGAAGAACTCGCGAGAGATAGGGGCCAGGCAAACGACTCTGGCGAGGAGGGTGTTTTGGAGAAGCTGGAGACGTTCGCCAAGGCGATTGTTTACGCCGTACATGAGAGAGCTGCGCTGGTCGACGCACGCGGCAACCGCACTACATGCGAGCGTATGTGCGACAGGGGCGGTAAATGCATTGCCGCATTAACTCGCTGATGCGTGATTCGAAGGTGGGATGATTGTCGAGTCTGTTACCCAGTAGCTTCATATTGCTAATTGTTTTATCGAACCGCCCACCACGACGATGGAAACCGGCACGTTCAGATGTCGTAACTTATGACGAGTTGCAAGAATCGCGGCCTCGAACTTTGAGGGTTTGAGTTGCTGAGCATCAGCCACTGTTGGAGAGCCGATGTACATTCTGAGAGCACGTTTATTGAAACAGGAGCAGACGTTTCGAAAGGGACGTGGAGATGGGTATCGTCACCATATCGACGGTACGGATTCACCGAAACTCTGTATGAGCCTGGCTACTGGAGACACGTGAGCTGCGAAGAGAATAGAGCCAAGGACAGATCCCCGTGGGACGCCGTACAGAGACGGGACTGCTGCTGGCCGTGCCTTGTCTGTGTTTGATGAAGCCAAAGCGGCCGGTCAGGTGAGATTCCATCCAGCGAACGGCGCCGTCAACCGATCCCAAGGTTTGTCTGCTGGCAGTGCAGGAAGGACACGGTGACCGATGGTGTCAAAAGCAGCCGAAGTATCCAGTGCGAGAAGTGCTACCGCCAACTGAGGAATTGACAATAGTCCTGTGGTCTCAGTGCAGTGGAGGGCTCCGTAGGCTCCCTGGATAGGGCTGAAGGCTATCGGGACGGTTCCATGTGGTCGTGGCCGCGCCAGCACGAGCCCGCTCAACTCGTTTTGACTTTGCAGGGAGATCGGAGAGAGGCCGATAATTTGCAACGTCTTGAGGAGTGCAGGGATCGATCGGGCACTTCTCCAAAATGGACGGGAAAGTGCCGGGGCTGAAAGATACGTTTGACCGGGCGCGGAAGCGTAATGTGCAGTTCCTCCTCGCAGACCTTCAGCAGCGTGGACACAAAGCTATCCAGAGAATAGGTCCGCCATCTGCAGTCCGTCAATGTTCTTCCGGGCCCCGTTCCGCGGACGTGGGTGTGCGAATGTGCCCGGCGCCGGTGCCGTTTGAGGAGTGTAGGGTTAGGGCGCCGTCAACTGATGAGCCAGTCGCAGTCGTGCCTTCCCGCAGGACGCTTCACCTTTTGTGGGAAAAGAAGTCGCAAAACGGCTCGGCAGTGATGTTGTGCTGTTGCGAGGCAGGCTCACAGGAGTGTAGCAGCTTGTAAACAACACACGCCATTCGCCCCGGGGATTAGCTGCTGCTGCTGCAGCAGCAAAAGCCCGGGCGATCATCGGCAGTACGCGAATCACATATCAGCTGGACAGTCACAGGACAAGATCTGCTGCTGCGCGCAAGACGGTCAGCGTGAGACTTTGTGCATGGGCTGAGCTCATGGCTCCATCTCCGCGGTGGGCGACCTCTCCCGCGTGACCCCATCCCCCCCCCCCTCCTCTGGCTGCCACTCCACCACCACCACCACCACCACCACGTCTCGTGCATCAACGTTGCCCGCTACTCTGCCGCCAGTCTCGTCCGTCGGCCGTCACCACTTCCAGCGGTGTATCTTGCACGAGCGCCCTTGACGCTTCCCGACAGTCGCAATGTGGCTGACGCAGACGCATAGCGACGACTGCAATTTCACATGCAGGCAGGCAAGCGAGATAACCGTGTCGGCAGCAGTGGAGTAGTATCGCCGTGATGTCTCCCTCGTTTCTGTGGATCGGGGCATTGCACCGTTATGCGTTGTATGGTCTGTTCTGGATGACCACAGTTGCGCAATAGAGAGTTTTACATTTGCGCATCAGGTATCCGCATCTGCTGTGGTTTGTGCGGATGCGAATTAGGCTGGACCATGAGCTTCATGGAAGATCAAACCCGGGGATCTTTTGCATTGGGTCGTTCAGTAAGTTATTTTTTTAACTCCATTCAGCTCTCCAAGCTTAATTTTGGGTTTAGCAATGATATCTGTGATGTGTTCTCTGATCCATGTGTTCTAATGCCTGTGATGTGTTCTCTGATCCATGTGTTCTAATGCCTGTGATGTGTTCTCTGATCCATGTGTTCTAATGCCTGTGATATGTTCTCTGATCCATGTGTTCTAATGCCTGTGATGTGTTCTCTGATCCATGTGTTCTAATGCCTGTGATGTGTTCTCTGATCCATGTGTTCTAATGCCTGTGATGTGTTCTCTGATCCATGTGTTCTGATGCCTGTGATGTGTTCTCTGATCCATGTGTTCTAATGCCTGTGATGTGTTCTCTGATCTATGTGTTCTGATGCCTGCGATGTGTTCTCTGATCCGTGTGTTCTAATGCCTGTGATGTGTTCTCTGATCCATGTGTTCTAATGCCTGTGATGTGTTCTCTGATCCATGTGTTCTAATGTCTGTGATGTGTTCTCTGATCCTTGTGTTCTAATGCCTGCGATGTGTTCTCTGATCCATGTGTTCTAATGCATGCCCTTGCTCCCCAGATCTTTCTGATGAAGATCTTCAAGTACCTGCTGCCCAGCCTCACCTTGGCCTCCATCGGCCCCACCTTGGTGACGCGCAACAAGGCGGAGGTTGAAGCGACTCGCATCAGCACCTACAAGCACAACCTTACAGCATAGCCTAAGAAAACCACAACTCTCGTTCATCCGTACAGACCCACGACCTCACAACATCGCCTACAAAAACGACAACTTTCGTTCATCCACAGAGACGCACGACCGCACAGCATCACCTAAAAAAAAATCGACAATTCTAGTTCACCCTTATAGACCCAGCGGTGATGTTTACACACCGCACCAGGTACTCATTTGAGGCTGAGTCGACACCCACAGCCACACACACAGCCACACGCACAGCCACACGCACAGCCACACGCGCACCTGAATGCGTCGCCGTCTGCTGCAGGTGGAGCTCTTCGAGTCGGACCCGCTGGTGCACCACGCTGGGCTGTCCGTGAGCTTCCTCTCCACGCTCATGGACGCGGTGGCGCGCATCGAGGCGCTGCTACCGGACGTGACGTGGCCGTTCCTGCTGCTGCACGGCGACGAGGACCAGCTGTGCTTCGTGGGCGGCTCCAAGGCCTTTCACGAGCGTGCACGCAGCGCCGACAAGACCCTGCACGTGAGCGAGCGCCCGCGCGGCTGCCATGTGCGGTAGAGACGAAAAACCTCAGGGACTCTCCAAATGCGTCTTTTTTTCAACTGCACAACCGAGCCGTGCCGGGGGCCGTGCCGAGCCCACGAGGCGCCAGATTGTTGCTTCGATTTTTTTTTGGCTGCTATGAATTCCCACGCGTTAAGCCACTTTGTTGAGCTGTCATTTGTGGCCAGGTCGCTTCTGAAAAAAAGGGCTGTATAGCTCAGTGGGCCTTGCATGGTAAGATAAAAATTAATAAAGAATTAAAGCTTTCGTGACTGCATAAAATTACTCATTGGCTTTTTCGGTAAAGTCACGTATGTAGAAATACAATAAAATTATATTGAAACAAAACAAAAAAATTGAAACTAAACATTTTTTTGTTTTGTTTCAATATAATTTTATTGTATTTCTACATACCTGACTTTACCGAAAAAGCCAATGAGTAAGATAAAAATTATTTAGTTTACTTTCAGTATGCAAAGGTCGAGCCGTGCCGCTAACGTCGCACAAAATGAACGAGTCGAGGTGCATGCAGATGACGCAGTGATGCCATGACCTCACGGTGCACTGATTGACGTCGCTTGCGATGAACGCATCGGCAGTCCTATACGTGCGTTGAACTTCTTCCTCGCCGTACGTAGCCAGCCGCGCTTATCGGTGTTGCGGGGGAATGACAACAAACGAAACATGAAAAGCAGTTCTTAAAGAAATGAGTTTCCGATTTTGATTCAAAAGTGCATAGCTCCAGTGGCTTCCTAATATCGGAAGGAAGAGCGTTCCAGACGGCCGCAGAAGCGCATCTGAAAGCGCGCGATGCGGTGACCGTCCTTTGTTCGCTGGTTAGCCAAAAGCTGCCGCCGCTGCTGCGAGGGTGACCGGGTGAGTTTGTGTGATGGTGGTTTATGCTCCTTGACGAAATCAGCGAGGTGTCGTGGTTCATTTGTGACGAGCACATTGTGTGCCATGAGTGGCCATCCTCCTTTGCGCCAGGCCAGATTCAAATGTCGGCATATTTCTGATTTTTGTTCTGGCTCTGCCTGGCACAAAAAAAGAAATAGTGGGAAAGCATCCCATCCCGTGAGGGCTCCGCACTGGCTCGGCTCCAATGTTCCAGTAGAGAAAGGGGTGTAACTGCTCATGCTAGGCCACATGCACTGGCTTGGGGTTTCCTACTATCATGCCAGATTTCCCCCCACGTGTAAACATGTTCAATGTGGACTTTTCCAAACAATCCCAATCACGACCCATCCTGAGAGTCGTGAGGCTCGGCGAGACATTGCTGGGTAAATCTTGCATGATTATAATTCACCAATCTCAGTAGGCTCTCGATGGGTTCATTGTGATACAGCACCAGTAAGCGGTGGTGGGCACACTATATAGGCTTTAGTGTCACATTACACGAGAGACAAATTGACTTAATTCACTGTTAACAGTGTTCGTATCATGGTTTAGTGTTTAGCATGAGACTTCAGGTTGAGTCTGCCCCATGAATTACACCAATCAACTGTTGCGCAGTAATGTTTGGGGGAGGGCCAAATTAAAATATCGAGGTTTTCTGATCCCTATAAGTTCTAGCCATCGACTCGATTTACGTTTGCGCCAGATCTCAGCTTTCCAGCCACGCCGAAACATCTTTGTAACGCAAATCGGTCAATTGGGCACCATCCTTTACGGGTGAATATTCCGTCATCAATGAAAATGGTTAATCAAGGGACACTGCTCAGAACTGAGTTTGTGTCTTGATGGGGAAATTGGGTGCGAGATCGCGCGAACGCCGCCGGCCCTCCTGGGTTGTGTTGTTGTTATCACAGGCTTCTTGGGCACAGGCCCAGAATGCCAAACGGCCAGCAACAAGCGGCACTGATTGCAGTTGTGATCGATGACAGTTAACACGTTTCTCCAATTGATCCAAGGTTATACGAACTTGGGGAGGGGCATTCCAAAGTCGGGCAGTGCGAGGGAAGAAGGAGTAAAGAGAAGCCGTTTGTGGCCTGCTGTGTGGTGACAGGATACAGTGCGAACGAGACAAAGCAGACTGGTAGACCGGGTCCGGGCAAACACGGTGGGAGGAACGGACGAGAGAAGTTCACGGGAAGAGTAACCGTGCTCGTGTCTGCGTCCGTGCGGTGTGGCGGGGTCGTTGCAGATCTACGAGGGCGCGTACCACGCGCTGCACAAGGAGATCCCGGAGTGCGCCGGCACCGTCTTGGAGGAGATTGAGGCTTGGATCGTGGCACGGACGCCCGCTTAGCCGCGTGACACGTGTGGTGAACAACACTACGCCGAGAGGAGAGAAGGGGCGGAGCGACGCACCAGGAGTTCGATGGCGTTTCTGGAAAGTGTTAGGGGTTAGGACTGGTGGTTAGCATTTGGTTAGTTCAGTTAAAGGTTCAGAGTAATGTTAGGATCTGATCCAACAATGGATTTTTGTAAAATGCCTTCCGCTTGCCACCATGTAGTTCCAGAGCCTCCAGTAACCTATTCTGCATGATGGCCATCTATCCAAGCACTTTGCAGGCTCCAGCCTACTTCGCCTTTGGGATATGATGATATCGGATGCTTTCCCATTGATCAGGTCGTATGGTTAAGGGGTTGTGTCAGATTTTGTTAGGCTCGTGTCAAATGACTTCTAATAGAGTGCCTGTCCCCATATTGCCAAGGATTACCTCTTCACCTTTGATGCCCTTTTCATTGTCGGCGTTGACGGCAACAGTCACGTTTGGAGAGAATATTTGTTTGAGTTTTCTCCCAGTAGGTAAAGCCTTGCGCAAATTTCGCACTCAATGGGTAATGGGTCTCGGGTATCATTGGTCAGCATATTAAAAATAATGAACACACAAGTGCCACACACTCCTGTCGGTGTTGCACTTGGCAGTTTCATGTCCGAGCAGCGTACAAGCAGTGCAAGTGGACGTAGTCACCGGACACGAGAAAAAAAAAGCTTGGACAATACTTCGTGGAATGTAACTGTGTGTTAACTTCTGAAATTTCATGATTATCACGGCACGTACAAGGATTTTGGAAAGCATTGTCATCAATTAAACATTTATTTAGATTGCCCCTATCACTTTGGATGTGCTCGTGTAAACATTCACATAATGGGAGATATTAAGGAAAGGACCAGATTGTGAAATATGCAATTCTACATTTCGTACAGAGCAGAGGTTTAGTGCATTACTTCTTACAGACAGGCGTGGCATCTTGCGCCACTTTTCCAGATTTTGGCATCACCACCTGCGGTGCACACAGAGCAGCTGCGCCTCATGATCACTCTCAATCTCCCAGTGATGGTTTTGCGTGGCTTTCATCGATGCTTGCTAATAATACTCACTTAGTTTACCAGGATAGAAAGGCACTGCTTTTTTTGACCTGGGTGTGTGTAGTTGGTTAATCAATTAACTTTATTAACAATCATATTTTGTAATTCACAATTTCCATTGCATTTTAATTCATGTAACTTTGGTCTCTGCATTTTATTCAAAACGAGATCTGTGTAAGTAACCTCAATGTTGCACATTGAGGTTACTGCTGTTGGTGAAGCAATTTAGGGTTTTATCCATGATACAGCAGCATTATGTCATGACTCAATAGGAACGCAACACTATCTGAAAGTTAAAGGGTTTAAAATTGCAGCAACCACGAGATTTAATATTTTTTGTAGAGCTAAATGGCACAGTATATTGGTGTTATATGTCGATTCGGTCGCTTTGAAGTTCCGTTTGTGATGTACTTTCTCAGTAATTGGCGATGCACAGTCACTGATGAGCTCCGTTAATCTCCGTTCACCCGTTACTCATGGCAAAGTTGGGACACGCCATCCTTGCATTTAATAAGCAAGACATTTCAAATACGTTGAAGTTCTCTATTTACGTTGGGGTGTCATCCCTGGAAAACGCGACATGAGGCGAAACAACGTGTATCAAAACCTATTTAACCTTGACTTAATTATATACATTTAGGATACGTTCCTGGGGGTCAATTTTTGGTCGACATTCGCAGAAAAATATATTAAATCAGTATCAGAAAAGATAACAAGACTCTAAAGAAAGATGTTTTTAAAATGTGTATTTTACTATTTTTCTTTCGTATGGCTGACGTAGATGCAGAGCAACAACAATTACAATTTAACATTCAGGTGGTCAAGGCAGATAACCAAGTCAAGAGCAGCGGAGTGTATCATCATCGCCGTGATGTCTCCTTCGTATTTATGGATCGGGCCATTGCGTCGTTATACATTGCACGTTCCTTTCTGGATGACCACAGTCGCCCATGGTTTGTGCAGTGGACGCGATTTCGGGTGGACCATGAGCTTCGTGGAAGATCAAACCCAGGGATCTTGTGCGTTGGGTCTTTGGCAATCAAAAAAAACTTTCATAATGTTTTTATTGAACCCGCAACACAAACACAACAGTGGGTGAACGTGTGGATGGAAGACGCGCCCTCTGGATGATTCTCCCCTTAAGGGTTTCTCTTCCCTACAAACAGTCGGGTCAAAGGTCGGGAGAGAGGATTCGAGGAGGGAGAGAGAGAGAGGACGTGGTGGGGGATAACCAAATAAAGAATAAGGAGAGTAAAAATAACTGGCAGGATGTCCGGTTCTTCCTTTTTCCTTTCTGGGAGGAAGTCAACTGAGAATAGAGTCGTCTGGTATCTATGGCCCGGTCCTCCTCTCTAGCCCTCGGCTCACCAATCATTTTATTTCCTCATTCCGTGCAGGTGCTTCATGTTGCGTGGGGTAACTGGGGTTTCTCAAGGAATGGGGTGCATATCGCCTCCTATGCCCCCTTGTATCTTCCCTTCGGCTTGTAGCTAAGCTGCTCCACCGCTGCCAATGCGACTCAGAAAAAACTTAAGTGTAACACGTTTAAACAAGTAATACAAGTGAGCAAAAGAGTAGCTCGCCACAGCTGGGGGCCTGGTGTGGGGCGAAGAGGGAGTCGAGTTACTACGGCATGGCGATGTCGTAGACACCGAGGATTCATCGCCCTCCAAGGGGGCCGTAGTGCGTCCGTCACGTACACCGCCAAAACTGCTGCGCGTTCATTCGTTAAACATTTTCACAAACAACGTGGCGGTGAATCGACGCATTGCCCCATCAAATTACGTTCCCGAATTCGTCGGCGACGTTGCAGTGAAGCAACGTAAATGATCAGCGGTCATCATCATCATCGGTCGGCTCAGCACCAGCAGAGGGAAGGAAGGAAATGGGTCGGACAGCCTAAGGAACCCGCCGCATTTCAGAGAGCTTGGCCAGAGGCGCACGTGCGGATCCCCGTTTTGAAGAGCTTAAGGTCGAGGGGACGTAGACGCAGGGTTTGTGAATCGAGTGATGCCCCATCGGTGTTGTGTTGTTATTTTACGTCGAGTGCGCGATACGAGACGATGTTTCGGTAATTCCTTCGCAACCACCGACATTGATGTTAGCAACAAGATATCATTGAAGATTAGGCTGTGCTGATGAGCCTTAATCAGGGAGAGTTTTATAGTTGGAAATTTAGATTCAGTGTCATGCAAAAACCGCAAATCCTGATTTTTATGACTGATTATATCAGGCACTGGAGATACCGAACCTTTTGGCTGGCAAACAAGGTTATTTTCTGTTTCAAGACTGCTATGTGGCCTGACTAATGATCACATTCGCGAACGTGACAATGCGTGCTCCACACAACATCCACCCCTCACAACGTGTACCCCCCAGATACAATGTCTCAAATCACCTAGATGTTTTGGTTTTACCAACGTCATTGAGAGGCGTTGTCTGTTTTTATCTTTTTAAAAGGAGCTACACAGAGAGACGTTGGCCATGCAGGAGATTTAGCACCTTTAACCGAATTTAATGTGAATAATAAACCAGGTATGTTAACCAGATGTGTGAACTTTTTGTAAATACTGTACCGTGATTCAGGATTTGTAGTCAAGTTTTTAGCTGCACACTTGTTTTAACCACTGATGTGATTCAAGTTAGGACGCTGAAGTTATCGTAAAGATAACTCGATGGACTCGTGTTGCCTACACACGGCCAGTGGTCTCGTGTGGGCCCTTTGCTTAATGATCATCCAATATCGAAGGGTTTTTTTGTTCTGTTGGCGTTGGTGTCACATCGCAGTGATCGGGCGTTCAAGTCGATTGCTTTGGTTTGTTGCCTGTGTAGCATTTCCACCCCTGCATTGCAACCTCTCAAAGCACACATCACATCGCTCTTAGAAAATAATAATAATAATCTCTGCTGCCTAGTTTCCTGGCTGCCTGCTGGCTGGGCTCCTGTGGCAACAGTCACCCCCTGTCTACAAACCTGGATGCCGTCTTGGTAGCAACACGGGGTGTGTGTGGGAAACGGAAGCCTTAAAAGAACACGCTTTCGGCCGTGTTATTGGTAAAACTAATAAAACATGATGACAGTTGTTGGTTTCTTGGTTGCTTCATTGTATATGTAATGCTGGCGGTAGTCATTTAGGCCCATTTCTACTGCCCGTTTTCCTGAAAATGTACCCGGGATTGGAGTGGCCTGCTTGGCTCACCGCAGTCCCATCCTCTCTCCCCCCACTGACTGGGCATCCCATGCAATATCTGACCAGAATTTAACATAGATGCAGTACGTATAGCAGTTTATATTATGTATTGACGATTCAATTGGTACAAGCAATGGAAAATAGAAATGTCAATGCAGCATACACATTTACTTATATCTGATCATGAAAGATGTTGAGTTATTCTTGATTTGAAGTGTCCTATAGATTGTCAAACTTCTAAATTACTCTATCTTGCCAATACATGCACGATTTATACGTTACATTTTGATTTAAAGCTTTCGTGACTGCAGGGATTCATATTATTGGTTCTTTCGGTAAAGTCACGTATAAGGAAACCAAAAATTGTGATCATTTTATTGTTTTATATTTTTATTATTTTATTGTTTCCCTTATACGTGACTTTACCGAAAGAACCAATAATATGATGTATACGTTATTTAATATATGCCACAAATTTAATCGAATGTCGAACGGGTACTGCATAATTGCACGCACCATTTAAAATTGCACTAACCCATTCTTTGCCACAAGATATTATTTAAATTCTAGAGAATATATACAGTGAGGGAAAAAAGTATTTGATCTCCTTATGATTTTGTACGTTTGTACCACTGACGAAGAAATGATCAGCCCATGATTTTAATGGTAGGTTTATTTGAACAGTGAGAGACAGAATAACAACAACAAAATCCAGAAAAACACATGTCAAAAATGTTATAAATTTATTTGCATTTTAATGAGGGAAATAAGTATTTGACCCCTCTGCAAAACATGACTTAGTACTTGGTGGCAAAACCCTTGTTGGCAATCACAGAGGTCAGACGTTTCTTGTAGTTGGCCACCAGGTTTGCACACATCTCAGGAGGGATTTTGTCCCACTCCTCTTTGCAGATCTTCTTCAAGTCATTAAGGTTTCGAGGCTGACGTTTGGCAACTCGAACCTTCAGCTCCCTCCACAGATTTTCTATGGGATTAAGGTCTGGAGACTGGCTAGGCCACTCCAGGACCTTAACGTGCTTCTTCTTGAGCCACTCCTCTGTTGCCTTGGCCGTGTGTTTTGGGTCATTGTCATGCTGGAATACCCGTCCACGACCCATTTTCAATGCCCTGGCTGAGGGAAGGAGGTTCTCACCCAAAATTTGACGGTACATGGCGCTGTCCATTGTCCCTTTGATGCGGTGAAGTTGTCCTGTCCCCTTAGCAGAAAAACACCCCCAAAGCATAATGTTTCCACCTCCATGTTTGACAGTGGGGATGGTGTTCTTGGGGTCATAGGCAGCATTACTCCTCCTCCAAACACGCGAGTTGAGTTGATGCCAAAGAGCTCCATTTTGGTCTCATCTGACCACAACACTTTCACCCAGTTGTCCACTGAATCATTCAGATGTTCATTGGCAAACTTCAGACGGGCATGTATATGTGCTTTCTTGAGTAGGGGGACCTTGCGGGCGCTGCAGGATTTCAGTCCTTCACGGCGTAGTGTGTTACAAATTGTTTTCTTGGTCACTATGGTCCCAGCTGCCTTGAGATCATTGGCAAGATCCTCCCGTGTAGTTCTGGGCTGATTCCTCACCGTTCTCATGATCATTGCAACTCCACGAGGTGAGATCTTGCATGGAGCCCCAGGCCGAGGGAGATTGACAGTTCTTTTGTGTTTCTTCCATTTGCGAATAATCGCACCAACTGTTGTCACCTTCGCACCAAGCTGCTTTGCAATGGTCTTGTAGCCCATTCCAGCCTCGTAGAGGTCTACAATCTTGTCCCTGACATCCTTGGAGAGCTCTTTGGTCTTGGCCATGGTGGAGAGTTTGGAATCTGATTGATTGATTGATTGCTTCTGTGGACAGGTGCCTTTTATACAGGTAACAAGCTGAGATTAGGAGCACTCCCTTTAAGAGTGTGCTCCTAATCTCAGCTCGTTATCTGTATAAAGGACACCTGGGAGCCAGAAATATTTCTGATTGAGAGGGGGTCAAATACTTATTTCCCTCATTAAAATGCAAATCAATTTATAACATTTTTGACATGCGTTTTTCTGGATTTTGTGGTTGTTATTCTGTCTCTCACTTTTCAAATAAACCTACCATTAAAATTATAGACTGATCATTTCTTTGTCAGTGGGCAAACGTACAAAATCAGCAGGGGATCAAATACTTTTTTCCCCTCGCTGTACCTTTAAAAAAAACACAATGCATGTTACGGTAGTACATTGAAAAAGATTCGAATAACCTGCAGTGCTCCGAGTATAGGTTAATGAGAAGAGTCTGCAAATGACAGCTAATATTTTTTTGTTTGCAGAGCAACTGCTTCCCTAACCTGCACAATTAATGATTTCAACTTGTAACGCACGCAGCATTCGCTCACTCTCGAATACCGAAGTGAGAGACTCAAGAGGCACCAGGAGCCACAGACAAGCGGGAAAAGAAACTTCGCGGTGAGCCAGCACCAGCAATTGCCCAAGCTCTGCGATCCTCTGTATATTGTGGTGTTATCAGCCAATTAATTAACGTTCATATATGGGAGGAAAACCGGAGCAATTATAGAACGCAGCATTATAAATAAATATGCAGTATGCGCTGTTGCTGTCAACCCGAAATGCAACCGTTCACGTCATATTTTGGAAGCTGAGCAGGTTAGTGTCTGGATAGTGCCTGGACAGTGACTGGATAGTGGAGAGGTCAGCAACCAAAATAGCAAAGGTCACGAAGCAGCGGTCCTCAAAGCGCCGCATGCGACTCGTGGGCCGCAAGATTGACGACCCCTGGCCCGTGGTGCCCGGCCTGGGTGACCGCCGCGCCCAGCCCGTGGCGCTGCGAGCTGCCGTGGGCTGTAAATCGTCAGCAGAGGGCAGTGGAGCAAAAGCCATCGCTGCAGACGGCATTCGGGGCGTTGAGAGGGGGGCATTGCGGTCACGTTTTTGGCCGCCCCATTGGAGCAGTTGCACGGTCAGAATTCAACAGCCGCTCCTGGTCCGTTACTCACTAAGATCCGGCCAAGTCATTCGCAAGGGGACGTCACTGTGTGCCGGTCTCTTGGTGCAGATACTGGCAATCACCGCCCCAGCCTCGCCAATTGTGAATATTTAAAAAGAACGAGCCATGAGACTCGATTAGGTTTTCCTGGGAAAATAAGCACATTCATAATTATATTGCATTATGCTTCAAAGACAATGCATATAGTATCAGAGTGCGTTTTTTGTTTGCATTCTGACCAGAAGCAATGTGGTTAATGCAGACATGATTCCTTGTAAAAGGTTTCAGATTGGTGTTTTAACATCCTAACACCTGTTTTGTTGCCAGAAAAAAAGGGGAAAACCTATTATTATATTTTGGTACTGGCAAAGGAGGTCCCCCGATGTATTATGCTCTCACGTCATTCACCAACCCACACTGACTACTGTGGTGAAGTATGGCCACGGAATGGGCAGACCCTCATCCAGACAAAGGGCTGTACGTCTACAAACTTAATGAAACAAGTAATTTGCATAATGATACTAATCTGCAAGACCTCCCAATTTCCCAGCCTCTTAATCCTCAAACGTGCCGACATCTCTATGGTGGCTCCACACGCCTCCTCTCTGCAGGGGTGACGCTTTATTATTCCCATTAACGCGTGCGCATGCCTTCGTTGTGCAAACACGGGCTCGCCTCGGTGTGAATGACTGCCCATTTGGAAGAGGGGAGTGGTGGCTCAGCGGTTAGCACGCTGCGGATACGAACCCGGCGACCCGAGTTCGATTGCCGCTCACGGCCAACACCAGTGACTATTATCTTAACCGGTCCTGGGTATCCCCCAGGTCGACTCAGCCTCACACGAGTACCTGGTGCAGTGTGGAAACATCGCCGCGAGGGAGGCAAAGGCGTGGTGCTGACCACCCACCCCCTCGTGTACCGTGCCGGCCTTCATTAGGTGCTCGCTAACAACACTTGCCCCAACAGTCCGTGAAGGCTATACGGGGGATCTTTGTCTGTGTTGTTATTGGGAAGAGGTGTGTGTAAGGCTCGGAGGTAGAGAGGGCTGCTTGTGCTTCATGTGTATATTTTGTTCACGCCCTTGGACACAATTTCACCGGTCACTGGCCCAGCGTTATTAGCTAACTTGTGTGCCCATTGCTGTAATATTTTTCTGGCCTGATATCCAGAGTGTGGTTGACGTTTTTTTCTTCTTCATGAGCACCAATTACCATACCAGAGCTTAATTGCAACTGGAGCTGTCCAAGGCTGAGCTCAGAAAAAAAATGTCTCATTAGAAATGAAATCCTGGAACATTGTGTATTATAAATGCATGGAAATATATATTTATATCGTAGTGCTATACTAAAGGGGCCGTCCATAAATGACGTCACGCGATTTTGGGCTCTGCCCCCCCCCCCAAACCATATTTCCATTTTGAAAATAAAACGTGCTTCAAATCGCGTTAAACTAGGAGAAAACATATCTTAAAAAGTGTATTTTATTAAATAGAACGTGTTGTCTATATTTATTTAAAGTTGCGCATTTTGATGTGACGTCACATTTCTCACCCCCCCCCCCCTCGTCACACATCGTCACAAATAACTGACCCCCCCCCTTCCCCTAGGTGCGTGACGTCATTTACGGACGATCTCCTTAAATGGCATCATCGTCAGCCCTGACCACTACTCCCTGCTCGACAACGGTCTTCCCATGACGCCCCCATCGCTCGTGTGTCCACAATGCGTCTTGCTCGTTCACGCGAGCTCATCTCTCCACTCCATCTGCACGCGGTCTTCCATCCCGTCGCTCGTATTCTCCATCCGTCATCATTCCCTTCTAGCGATGTGTCCTATGCAAGTCCACTTCGTCAACACGTCAACAAGATATCTCTCATATTCTTGGTTCTTTCGGTAAAGT